GGCTGTCTGTCACGGGCTTCTGTGGCTCTCTCCTTGGGCCCAATCTCTCCCGCTCTGATGCTCTATCTCTCTTTGCTTCTACCTTTCACTGTTCCTTTGATTCTTTCTCTCTCCCTGTCACTCTCGATGCCTGTCCCTGTCTCTCCATCGCTGACGTCTGCCTGTTCGCTCCTGCTCTGTATTTTTGCCTCCTTTCCCTACTTCGCTTCATACTGCGCATCTCTGGCCCCTCCTCCCAACACCTCATATGCACACGGGTGCACACACACATACACATGTATGCACACACACCTCTTACTCATTCACAGGTTTGGGAGCTTCTTATTTTGGAGTCTGGAACCGTTGCCAGATAGGGTAAGGGCTGGCTGGCCAGTGCAAAGAGACTAAGAATGAGGGCTCACTGGGAATTCTGGGCTGTGGGACGGGCACCAGGAAAATGTGTCTCAGTCGTCTGCTTTTTTCCTAGCCCAGACCGCATCCCTCCTACCTGGGTTGGAGGTAGTAACAGAATCTGATCATCCTGCGGAGGCAGCGCCAGAGGAGGGCTCCCTGGAGGAGGAGGCACCCCCCATGCCCCAAGGCAATGGCCCTGGGGCCCCCCAGGCCCTGGACAGCACTGACCTCGATGTCCCCACAGAAGCTGTGACACGTGAGTCCTAGGGGGCTGGGGATTGGGGTGGCAACATGTAGGGGCTCCACTAGGGAATTCAATCCAGGTGGGTTGGCAGAAATGTAGTGGGTGCCTACAGGTGCCCAGCACTGGGCCAGGACCTCAAAGAGGGTCGTGTGGGCAGTGGGAAGGTGAAAGGCATCGTCACTGCCTATTATGTCTAGGAAGAAGATCTCCACATACAAAACGATTGGTAAGCAGGGGGCTGTGGACAGGCACTGAGCAATGTGGTTCAGCAGAAAGAGCTTGCGGCTGTATGGAAAGAGGCACCGTGCCTCAGGAAGAGGGCTGGAGCCCGGAGCTGGCGGCTGGAACCTGATACAGCCCATCCATGAGGGTATCAAGGGCAGAAGGAAGGAGAAAGGCCCCCAGTTGCTCAGGGGAGAAAGGAGCAACTTTCTACTCCATTCCCAGGCCTGGCTGGACGTCTCCAAGTCCTGTCCTGGGAGGGAGTGAATTCTCCACCCCTACCCTCAAGAGCAGGGGAAGGGGCAGCCTGAATCATTTCACAATTACTAATGAAGATCTCCAAAATCTATAGACACATTCTCATTTTTTAACTTTCTTTCTCAGAATGATAGCACATGCTCTCCAGACCAGCCTGTGGTAAGGCAGCAGGATAGTATTGCCAAGCCCATTTTACAGATGAGGTAACTGAGTCACAGAGAACTGTGACCGGGGAACTCATGTATCCTAGCCCAGTCCTCTTCCCTATGCCTGCCTGCCCAGCTGGCAAAATTGAGCAAGGAGCTCCCTTCAGCCAGGGCATCTGGGGCTAAGTTGGACTCCCTGGAAGTCAGGGATACTAAATCCTGCTAGCGCACTGCACTCAGCCCCTTCCAGACACACCCACCAGCAGAACTGAGAGAAAGAGGTCAGCGCCGTGGCCACGGAGCAGGGGGACTTGATGGGAACTGGACAGACACTCCTGTGTCTAGGGGCCACGGTGTTTGCTCTGTGACTCAGCCCACACCCCTGTCCCCACTGCCACCCCTATGGCTATGGCCACAGGCAGGCTCTGTGTCTGCCCCCACCTCCCAGGGCCCTCAGCTCACCACATACTCCTGCTGTCTGTTCACTGTGCCCATGTTTAGGCAGCAGGGCAAGGGGTACTGAGGCTGGCCAAGGACTCAGCCCAGTCACCCTCAGAGGGTCCAAGAGGTGGGGGCAGGATGATTCACGCCTGGCCACTTCTCATGGCCTTACCCCTGTTTACCCAAATGCAAGCACCAGCCACACCTCAGGACTAGCAGCAAAGGGCCTGGCCACAGAGTCCTGTTTCCCATCCTCCCCCTGCTTCCCACCTTGCTTTGATCTCCTTTCTCCCAATCTCCATGCTCTCCCTCCTCCGCTTCCTAGCTGTGGGGTCTTCAGCAAGTTTTAACTTCTCTGGGCCTTAGTTTTCTCATCTGTGAAATGGGACCAATAGCAGAGCTGTTGTGATGCTTTAAGGAGTTACTACACATAAAGCTTTTAGCACTGTGCCTGGCACATCATAACTGCTCAAAAAAAAAAAGGTAGGCTACTAGTTATAAGAATAGTTGTGATTGTAGCCACCTGTCCCCTAGTCCCTCGTTTCCCAACCTCTCTGCCCCTGTCTTTGCCTCCCTGCCCTCTGAGGCCCAGCTCCTAGCCTCTAGGCTGGCCCCCTTCTGCCACTTACTAGCTGTGTGACCTTGGGCAAATTACTGTACTTCTCTGGGACTCAGTTTCCTCATCTGTCAAATGAAGATAATGCCCTGGAGAGATACTGAGAGGATTCAGGGAGAGAATGATTACTATACCAACTGCTTAGAACAGACACTGGCATGCAGTAAGTGCTCAGTCAGTGCTCAAATGCTTTGGCTACTGTCATGACAAGAAGGCCCAGCACCCTCAGTCAAGGGAAGCACAGAGGTCACCTTCTGCTCAGCCTCCAGGGTACCCCAGACACCTCCCTCCAACCGCAATTCAAATACAGAGGCCAGGACTGGAGAGAGTTGGGGATCCAGACCCCAGCATCTGAGGGACTGAAGTGCTCCAAAAAGTGCCCATGAGGGGGCCTCAGGGCTGGACGATCCTGCCGAGAGTCAGGAGCCCTGAGCCGTGGAGGGGTCCCGGAGCTCTCAGGGCCCCTTCTCAGCCACGCCCTCCATAGACACACATACCTGTCCTCCTCTCTTGAGAAGAGAACAGTTGAGCATCCCTGAGTGAGGTGCAGGAAGGAACTGGATTTTTTGGGGAATGTCCAGGGTCAGCTTCTCTGCATCCCACTGATAAAGCTGAAGTTTGGTTCCTCAGTCTAGGATGGGGGACCCAGGGTTCCTGGCTCAGGGGTCTCCCCGCTAGCTTCCCTCTTCGTTTCTTTTCTCCCTCCTCACCAAACTGCCACTGCCCGCACGGAGGCAGAATGGGGGCAGGGGCTGGAGAGAGCTCAGGAAGAAAGAGCAGGAGATAGAGGGGCTGCTGTGAGGCGCCCCTGGCTTCCAGGGAAAGGGCTTCATCTCAAAACAGATGTTTCCAATAAGTCAACCAGCACGTGAAGGGCAAAAACAGCTGGGGGCTTGGCAGAGGCTGCGATGAAGGTTAACCGCTTCATTGCTGTCCCCCCCCACCCCAGCCAACCCCCTTCCAACACTCAACCCCTGCTATTGCTCAAATCCCAGGATCCCAAGAGCAGGAGAATCAATTTCATGTGGGGTAAAAAGGCCTCCTGGGTGGGGCCCAGGGTCTGAGCCCCCCCACCCCAACCTCCTTGCATCTCTGTCTTCTCTGGAAAACAAAGCAGGACAGTGTTATGGAATGAGCACTGGACTGAGAGTCAGGAGCAGGCCCAGCTCCGCTGTTATTGTATGGTGTGCTTCTGGGTAATGCAGTTCTACTCTCTGGCCTCAGTTTCCCCATCTGCACACTGTAAGTCTGGCTAGGTGACCTGTAGTGTACCTAAGAGAAGAGCAGGGCTCTGGGAACCTGGGGGGCCCACACCCTTTCCCCATCACCTTTTCTTTCATCTCTCCAGGCCAGCCTCAGGGGAACCCCTTGGGCTGCACCCCACTACTACCGAATGGCTCTGGCCACCCCTCGGAGCTGAGTGATGCCAGGCAGGTGGTGAATGGTGCGCTGGGTGGCCCCAAGGCCCACCAGAAGTTGCAGATGCACCCATCTCTTGCCAGCCAGGGCAGCAAGAAAAGCAAGGGCAGCACCAAATCTGCTGCCTCGCAGATCCCCCTTCAGGCACAGGAAGGTAAGTGTTCTCCATCCCACCGCTCCAAAGCTGATCCGCAGACGAGTAACATCAGCGTCACCTGGATGCTGGTGCAGACTCTCAGCCCCACTCCAGGCCCATTGAATGGGCATCTCTGGGGGTGAGGCCCAGGAACCTGGGCCTTAATAAGCCCTCCAGCGTCTGATGCACACTCAGGTTTGAGAACCCTGTAAAGTACACCTGTTAGGTAAAGTGAGGCACACCATCAAGGCCAGCCCTTCCCGGTCCCTGCCCTCCCAGAGTTGCTGTAACAAGAAATGGAGCCCTCTGAGCTGATCCCGCCTACGCCACCCCATTTCTGCAAGCAGTGTTCCTCGAGGGGTGGACCATCTGAAGAGCACTTAGCAGAATAAAATGATGCCCCCTCAGATGCTTAACTGGGGCAGAGGTAGGGACTATGTGGTGGAGTAGGAGGTGGAGGACTCAGTACACCAGCTGCTGTTCCTGTACTGCAAAGATCCTCTGTGGGGCCTCCCTGGGCAGCCAGCCCCCGACCCGCCAGGCATCAGTTCCACACAGCTGCCTGTAGCTCACTGGCTGCCTGACCTTCAGCCCAGAATTTTTAAGCAATTCTTGCCTGTATTGGGGTATCTTGGCCTAATCCTCTACAAACAGGCTGCAGTATACAGTCGTCGCATTTGTACATGTTCTGAAACCCTCCCACCTCATAGAGCAGGTTCTGCCCAACAGTTTGAGTTATGAAGGAGTACTGGTGGTTCAGGAGCCCTGTGTGACGCAGCTGTTAAGCACTCAGCTGCTAACTGAAAGGTTGGTAGTTTGAACCCACCCAGTGGCTCCATGGGAGAAAGACGTTGCAATCTGCTTCCAGAAAGATTACAGCCAAGAAAACTTTATGGGGCAATTCTACTCTGTCATATGGGATCACTATGAGTAAGAACTGACTCAGTGTCACCCAACAACAACAACATTGGTGGCTTAGTGGTAGAATTCTCGCCTTCCAGGTGAGACACCCTGGTTTGATTCCTGGCCAATGCACCTCATGTGCAGCCACCACCCACCTGTCAGTGGTGGTTTGCATGTTGCTATGATGCTGAACAGGTTTCAGTGGAGCTTCTAGACTAAGACGGACTAGGAAGAAAGGCCTGGTGGATCTACTTCCAAAAATCAGTCAGTGAAAACCCTATGGATCCCAATGGTCCAGGTCTCAACTAATCATGGGGATGGCGCAGGACTGGGCAGCATTCTGTTCCATTGTGCATGGGGTCACTGTGAGTTTGGATTGACTCAATGGCCAACAACAACACTCATTTATTTAAAATGTGCTGGGCATTTGCCAAGTGCCAGGTACCATGCTTTGTACTGGGTACAGAGATAAAAGTCCCAGTCCATGCCCTCCTAAAGCTCTCTTCAGAAAGACACAAACAAGTCATCACCATATGATGTGCTAAGTACATGATAAAGTCTCACAAGGAAGATTATGCAAGCACAAGAGGACACCCACGCCAGCCCAGAAATGTGGGGAGGGAAGTCTGGGAAGGCTCTCTGGAAGAGATAACATCTTAGCAAGTCTTAAAGCATGAGTAGGAGGATCTAGCTAGGAGAGCCTAAACACAGAGTTGAAAAATGGCTTCATGTTGCTGAATTATGAAGTTCAAGGTGATGAATGGTGGGAGGTAAGACTTCAGGCAGGCAGGGACTCTTGAAGCCTTGAGGCTTTGTAAACCATGCTGTGAACCTGAACTTTATCTGGAGGGCAACAGGGAGCCACTGAAGAGTTTTGAACAAGGTAGTGACCTCATCAGATTAACATCTGAAGAGAACTACCCTGATCTGGTTTGGGGATAGACTGCATGGATACCAGCTGTACAAAACCCTAATCCCGCCCCCACAGGAACGGGGGGAGGGGGCACTCAGACCCACTCTGGCAGAGTGAGACACCCAGAGGACTAGCAGCCTTGTGCCAAGGGTCCAGCTGGTCAGGGGAACTGAACATTCTGCCCCAAGGCCTGGCCCCTCGAAGAATGCCAGCTCGGCATCCCCACAGC